AATACTGAATAAGACCATTATTTTAGAAATAAAACATATATAAAGACTCAAGGGGGAGCCGTAAGAGCAGAGGGGTGAGGATCGGCAGGGGGGTAATCATTGGGTTGTACAATTTGATTAGTAGAGGGAGGGGTGGGTAAAGGAAATGGGCAAGATTTGTTGTGAAAAATAGTGTATTTGATTGCTTGGAATATACCCCAAGAAAATGAAAACTGAGGCACAAATAAAGACTGTACACCAATGTTCATAACAGCATTATTCACCATTGCAAGAACATGAGAACAGCACGAATGTCCAACCACAATCGTATGGATTGAGAAATGATGGTATATACGCATAATGGAATACTACACAGCACGCAGGAGCAATGATTTTAGAAATTATTACCTAACTTGGGAGGGACTGGAGAGCATTATGCTGAGTGAACTAACTCAGTCCTATAAGGACAAATACTGTATAAAACTCTTATTGTAGAACGAGCTTGAGAATCCAAGGGGGTGAAGAACAGAAGCAGAGCGGTGAGGATGTGTGGCAGGGGAACATTAATCATGGGGTTGCACAATTTGATGGAGCAGATGAGGGAAATGGGATCTGGTGTGAAAAACAATGTATTTGAATTTTGCAAATAAACTAGTATAAAAATAATGCAAAATAGAACATATATGAATGATTTATTAAATACAGTGTAAATGAAAGATTGTATAAACCCAATGTATATGAATGAAACATACTGTAAAGATATTACTATATGAAAATAAATAAAAAATACTAAAATAATACGAATTTTCTAAGTAGACAAGTAAAAAATAAACAAAAGTGAGATGTTTCAAAGTAGTTTTAGAAATCAGACAAATGTTTATGAAGTAGTGAGGTATTTAGAAAGCAGGATACAAAAACAGAACCAAAGTAAGAGCACAAATTATTAAAAATTTAAAAACGACAGTTGTTGTTGTTGTTGTTGTGTACCACTGAGTCAAAAATGACCCACAGCTGACCCTCCAGTGGGTTTTCAGAGGCAGTTAATAACACAGGCGGAGACTGCCCATCCTTCTCTTGCAGAGCAACTGGTGGCCTTGAACTGTGTACCTTCAGGATTGCAGCACAACTTCTTGCCACTAGGCCACCAGAGCTCCCTAAAAAAATGACAGTATGTATTTTTTTTTTTAAAAAAAGGGATACACCAAGAAATCCCACCATCTCTGAAATAACAGCTGCCTGAGTGGTACAACTGAAAGTGAATTTTTACTTTCTTTCTGGAAATTTTAGAATTTCCCCCATCTTGTCTACTGTGTGTTACTTTTCAAAGTAGAAGAAAAAATAAAGGTTTGGAAAAATTATTTAATAGGATAAAAATACAAAACACTATTTCAATTCAGACACTAAGAAAGAAGCAGCTCCTTCAAAATCTATCGTTTGTTTCACTTCTCTTTCTTTTTGTTGTTGCTGTTAAAAGGGAAAACAACACCCGAACAGCCTTCTTGCAAGGACAGCAGAAAGTCCACAGTCTCTCACGTGTCAGCTCCGCCCAGGCCCGGGAGGGGAGGAACTGGCACAGCCCCTGAGCCCCACCAGAGGATGCAGCCATGCTGGATGCGAATTCCCACACCGGTGGGCGGAGAAGCCAGGTTCAAATACAGACTTGGCAGACAGCCTGGTCACTTCCCAAATGAGCTCCCTGGTGGCCTTCACAGGCATCCCTACAGTAAGGCTCTGCTGTCCAGTCTGTGGGCTCTCAGCACATGCTTTCCTGCTCCTTCAAAATCCTACGACCGCGAGAGTTCTTGACTTTTGTCCTACTGTGAAGCCCTCTAAACAACTGCCCCACAGTGGAGCTCAGCACCCTACAAAATTAAGTCATGTCCACAGATCATCCTTGCAACTGGTCCCTCCTTCCTTTCCCACATGAACCTTCCCTCCAGTGGAAATGTGGCCCCTCCCTTGTCCTTTCTCTTCGCCTCTCTGTGCCTTGCCTGAATGTTTCTCTTTGCTGCTCCATTAAGTCATGTCTCCTCAGCCCCACCTCATGTGACATTGCTTTCCACCAGTTCTTCTGGTCCCCTCCCAAAGTTGTCACTCCTGAAACCCCTGACTCCTGCCTGCTTCCTCCGTCTCCTCTCAGTCCCTGTTGAAATGAAAAACTCTCCACTTATGGATGCTCAGCTTGCTAAAAAGGAACAGAGGACACCTAGTTTAACTTGAGGAAGCTCTCAGGGCTCAGTGGTAAGGAATTGCGCTGCCAACCTGAACACACGCAGTTTGAATACACCAACTGTCCTGAGGGAGAAGGATGGGTAATCTTCTCCTGTGCAATTTACTGTCTCTTGAGATTGTTCACAGCTTTAGTTTGCTTGGCTCCACAGTCAACACTCTAGGCACCAGTAGCCAGAAAATTAAAAGACATTATTGCCATGGGAAAGTCTGCTGTTAGGGACCTCTCCAAAGTACTAAAGAGCAATGATGTCTCTCTGGAGACTAAGGTGTGTCTGATACAGGCCATGGTCTTTGCTATCACTTGTTATGCATCAGAGAGTTGGACAATGACTA